TACATTCAAATACTGTTGTTAAACAATGCTTAGCTTTACTGGTTTTTGACACTTCGGTCGTGGATCTTCATATATTACTATCCATTCTTGAATAAATTCAGGAAATTATAACTGGAAATAAGCTATTCGACAAAATGTTCCTTTGATCGATTCCAAATTTAGGTTCTAAATCTGAATAATCTAGAAAAGGTTTTATAAATACCAATGAGTACATAATTATACAAATGAGTTCTTTCAGAGCATTGTGTTTGAGAAAAATATGATTTGTCAACCATACTGAGTTATACATAGTTCGCTTCACTGTTTATACGAATGGGCAATGGCACTATCATTATATTATAATTGTTAATTATTTATTTAAAATAAATAATTTTGTTATTAATTCCTTACAAATATTGAATTGTCATCCATACGTGATTACATAGCTGTCATTTGCTTGTTGTTATTCCAAGTCGAACGGGATAAAAGGTATCCTATGTCCTTCTCCTGGCTCTGAACCAACTTTTACCAACTTTACCAAAGCCAATTTTCAGTTAAATCGGTTCAGCCTTCTTGAGTTATAAGTTCCGACGATATAACTCCAGAATGCACAAACCGAATTCGACAATTTTGCATTCGCTGGAAAGGTCTGGGGCTCCGTGAGGTTTATAGCTGGGTTATAATATATGAGAACCAAAAACTAATATTTTATCACTATAGTTAACTTAAGGTAGTTGATTACTTCAATTAGACCTTTTTATTGTCGAATCAAAGCACATTTGCTGATAATATATATATGCCAATTAGTTGTAAACACCTGAAACATTTTATAAGATATGTATAAAGAAATTACAAATTAACAACAATTAATGTATAACTATTTACATTTTTATTACAAATTTTGAGGTTATGTCAAGAAACTATATTTCAGAATATTTTTTTTTATTAATTTGTTGATGATTATACTTATTGCTGATATATAATATAAACACCTCAAATACTCTATTTAAATACGTATAAACAAATATACATAAATACCTAATTATATAAATAATTACATTTCCATTTTCAAGAAATAAATTTCCCCATCGTCCATCTAGCATCGCTTGCTATTATTAAGAATTAATTTATTTGCCACTTTGTATTAATTTTCCGTGGCGATTAAAATATTTATATTATTCACGTAATAATTTTCAAATAATGGTCATTAAGAAATGCATATTAATATATTTGTATCAAAACAGAAACACCGAATGACAGTTGACAATCGAATGTAAATGTCATGGATGAAATCATTGATAGTATCATAGATTGAATAAACTACATGGATAGTTTATAAATAATTAATTTTAAATTAGAATGAAATAAAGGGATAAAAAGTATCCTAAGTCCTTCTCCTGGCTCTAAACTACCTCCCTGCCAATTTTCATCTAAATCGGTTCAGCCGTTCGTGAGTTATAAGTGTTATAACATAAAGCGATCCTCTTTTATATATATAGATTTATATATATATATATATATATATATATATATATATATACATATATATATAATATATATATAACACTATAAGCCCATACAGCATCACTATTAAATATCCATAGAAAATCCAGAAGTTTAATAATACCATTATTTGACATTTGGTGTTATTATCTTCATACGGACGTAATCAAAATCCTCTATATATGATCAATGATTTTACAACAATTAACAAATAAGTTCAGATTACAAACTCTAATCTAATTATTATATCATATTCAACATGTTTTGTTATAAATTATTCAATTATTTCAATATTAAACGTTTAAATATAAAACGTTGAATAAAACTATATTTTTATTCGGCTACTTTTGTACCATGTTATCCCTATTATTTATTAATTAATTAATTATTAATTTAATTAATCAATAATAAACCTTATTATTTTGACTATATGTGCTTCATTTTAGTTTTTATATTTTTGTATAATTATTTATTTACTTATTTATAATAAAATAAAATACTAGTTTGTAATACCGAACTCATAATATTATAATGCGTGTAATTAAATAATACATATTTGTTTATAAAATATTGAATACAATTTAACTCATTTTTAATATTATTGTAATACGAGGTCGTAATATCTACGCTTTATGAATTAAAAGTGAGAAAAATTCTCAGTGCACCAATTAAGTACACAACCTACTTTACATTACATATTTGTTAATAAAATATTAAATTCAAGTCAAATTTATATGTAAATAGACTTCCTTCATACCAATTTGTTCAAATAATGTTTTAAAATTGCCGCGTAATATCACTGAGCAACTTATTTCTATATTAGCTTATTAACTTATTGATAACACTGAGCAACTTCATTTTATATTAGCTTATTAACTCATTTTTAATATTATTATAATACTAGATCGTAATACCCACGCTATATGAATTAAAAGTGAGAAAAATTCTCAGTGCACCAATTAAGTATACAACTTACATATTTGTTGATAAAATATTGAATACAAGTCAAATTTATATGATAAAAGACTACCTATTTACTAATTTGTTCAAATAATGTTTTAAAATTGCCGCGTCATTTCACTGATTAACTTCATACTATATTAGCTCCTATTGAAATAAATTGATAAAATGATGAAAATAATAAAAACGAAGATAAAACGTTTAATAATATCTGTTCTTCCTCGAATACATTTGTACCATTTTGTTTAAAAAGTTGTTTAATTAATTAACTTAATTATTCTGACTATATGTGCTTCTATAATTTTTTTTATATTTAATTATATATTTACTCATTTTTAATATTATTATAATTATTAACTCATCTTTATTATTATTATAACACTAGGTCGTAATTCCCACGCCATATGAATTAATATGTTTTAATTAAGTACACAACTTATATATTTGTTGATAAAATATTAAATTCAAATCAAATTAATATGCTAATAAACTTCGTTTATACTAATTTGCTCAAATAGCGTTTTAAAATTGCCGCGTCATATCACTGAGCAACTTCGCACTGCATCAACTCCTATTGAATTAAATTTACAATGTATAATTGCAAATTTAAAACTCGCGCGATGTGACATCACCGCTCGCTCACATGTTGCACAAATTAGTTAATAATTTTTGTGGTGGCAACACTCCCCCACCACCTCTGAACACCCTCAGTTATCAATCGTCTTTAGTATGAGACGGACCTCCCCAGTGATAAGAACAATGGAAGAAAGTGCTTTGGATTATCAAGGTAGGATTTTTAATTACTATAAATCAATCTATACATGAATATATTTGAACTATATTCGATAATTAGATGTTATCAATTAGTTTAATCATATATTCAACCTAGATTTTGATTTGAATTAATATAATTATTAAGTTATTTTTTATCCTAAAAGTGAATTTCATTTTCATGCTGAACCCAAGTGACGTTTCCGACGCGTGCATCAAAAGAAATCGTGATGCATCCTTGATTTATAACGACTAATTTTAATAATGATTTCAGTGATTTATTTAAAGTTTCATCGTATTTTAGAAATATTTGTGATAAAAAAGTGTATTTTTAGCATCTAGTACCATGTGCACGTGGCGACTAAATATAAGGCATCCACGCATATGAATGCTTTATTACGGCTCCTAATTACCTATTTAATAAAGATTAATTATTATTTTCCAACAATTTTGATGATTTTGTGTAAAATTTTGCATTTTTCTGATGACGCCGCCTTCAAAAGGCTTTGCGTGCAGTAGACGCTCAGCGTGAAGGTGCCGATACACTGTAGAGAAATATCTAGGTAGAGTGTAGACTCTCTTGCTAGTGCGCTCTACCGTTGTCTGTACACTGTAAAGTGTTTTCGAAGTAAAACTTCTTTAGGCGCGATATGGGTGTAAAAATTTTTAGGCGCGACACGGGTGTAAATCCGTACAAATGCAACGAAAATGCCAACGTGTAGTTGAACACTACGACGCCGTAAGCGCTGATGTCGCGAGTATCCACTCCCGTCATGTCATGCGTAAGTCGAGCGCTAAACCCTATATGAACTTGCATTAATTGAATCACGTTTTTTTTACAAAAGAAGAGGTTGCTGTATTATGTCCTCATGGAATAAGACTTTTCTTAGAGAATAAATGTGCCATGGAATATAATAAATTTATATTGAATCTCGTTGAAGACAAAATAATATCTACTGCCACGGATATTTATGTAGGTTGCCATGCGACAGATCAACAATCATACATTCGTCAGCAGTTTCAAAAAAAACGGTTATTGATACCGGGGCTCTGCCGTATGAAATAATTTTAGTTCTGAATAAATTTTACATAATAACAACTAATATTGATGTAAGTGTAGGAAAATTAGTGTACATAGAACGTGGCGATAATGATGAACTTCTACGTTTATGGTTTGAATTTCCCGGTAAGATAGGTAACAAAATTAGGAAGAAAGCTTCACATCATATTCAAACTCTTAATATCAGTAGGACAGCTGTGCCGATGCTCAGGAGATCTTATTATTATTGATGTTATATGATTATTAAAAGATGATTTTTAAAATTCAAATATGATGTTTTTTTTATTTTTATCTTAATTGCCTACTCATACAATATTAAAAGTTTTACTTCAATCGCGTGTGATCCTTACGCGCACTCTTTTTTTTTTTTCTTCCGAGAGCTCTTTCGTACTCTAGGAGAGAAGTAGGTGAAAGGTGCTAGAGCAACTCTACCTAGACACTCTAAAAAGCTATGTACACTTGTGGCTATATATATTAATATATATTAATCTAGGTAGAGTGTAACTTTGACAAGTAGACTATAGAAGTGAACTTCGTATTTGAGGTTAGTTCTTGTGAGACAATTGACAATTTTATTAGTGCATATTAGTTAGTGTATAGTTATTATAATAAAGCTATGTACACTTGTGGAAAAATATATTAATAAATATTAATCTTGGTAGAGTGTAAATTTGACAAGTAGACTATAGAACTGATATATATAGAAGTGAACTTCGTATTTCAGGTTAGTTCTTGTGAGACAATTGACAATTTTATTAGTGCATATTAGTTAGTGTATAGTTATTATAATAAAGCTGTGTACACTTGTGGAAAAATATATTAATAAATATTAATCTTGGTAGAGTGTAAATTTGACAAGTAGACTATAGAAGTGAACTTCGTATTTCAGGTTAGTTCTTGTGAGACAATTGACAATTTTATTAGTGTATATTAGTTAGTGTATAGTTATTATAATGAGTTCCCGGCGAAAACAAGGTTTAGCAGCATTGGTGGTATATAGTTTAGTTAAAAAAAGAAATAAGACAGTAAAAAAAAAAAATGTGGGTTAGGGAATGGATTGCCAAAAGAGAAGAAGAGGGAGTTTATGCAAAGTTGTTGAAAGAACTCGAGTATCAAGACGTAAGTTCTTATGAAAATTTTATAAGAATGACCCATCAGGATTTTCAGCATTTGCTGGAACGAATTGCTCCAAGAATTACAAAACAAGATACTCACCTAAGAAAATCAATATCACCATCTGAGCGGTTAACACTGACACTGAGATTTCTTGCTACTGGTAAGTTGTATAAAACAATTATTTAAAATAATACAAAAACATTTTTTTTACTATTTATTTATAAAAATTGTACCAATATTAATTGTAAATAAATTCTATTATAGGTGACAGTTATCAGTCATTAAGTTATTTGTTTCGGATTCCACCAACAACTATTTCTCGCATTGTTCCGGAGGTGTGTGATGCTCTGTACTTGGAATTGAAAAATGATTATTTGAAGGTATGAGAAAATGTTACATTTTGTCATAATATTGCGTTAAAGTAGTCTCGTTTTGCGTTGGAGAAATTATCTGGCATATTACTGGAGTGCTCGATGAACCGGAGTACTCACTCAAATTACTCAGAGACAGCATAGACTGTGAACTGGGGGAGGATACTCCTCGCATGTTGACTTCCTCATGTGCGTCTAAAATAGCTCTCTGAATCTTAAGTTTTAATTTATTTCGGATATCTTCATAGGGTAATACTCTCAACTCTGCAGTAACAAACTCTCCAAATACATCCAAGTGATCTTTCGGAGCTCGTAAACAAGCTAAAGCTTCATTCAGCAACTCATCATCCTTTTTAACTGAATCGGGTGCCCGTTTTTTATTTTTATGAGGTTTTGTAACAGGAGTCTGCCAAGACCCAGAATTATCTTTCATTTCCTCATCATGATGGTCCTAAAAAAAGTTAAAATAATAAATGAAAATTAAATGTTTTGTTCTTTTTTTTACAGATTTCTTGTACATCAGAGGAGTGGGAAAATGAAGCAAAGCGATTTGATGCTACTTGGAACTTTCCAAATTGCATAGGAGCTATTGATGGAAAACATGTGGTAATGAAGGCACCAGAAGACTCAGGAAGTCTATATTATAATTACAAGGGGACACATAGCATTGTATTAATGGCTCTAGTGAATGCTGATTACAAATTTTTGTACATAGAAGTAGGTTGTAATGGGAGAGTGTCAGACGGGGGTGTATATGCAAATTGTTCACTATCTAAGTGTTTGGAAAACAAGTCATTGAATATACCCGAAGCAAAGCCATTACGTGGCCAGTCAGTTCCGGTGCCATATGTCATTGTTGCCGATGACGCTTTTCCGTTAAAAACCTACATTATGAAACCATTCCCTTTTAGAGACCAACCTGTTGAAAATCGCGTTTTTAATTATAGACTTTCTCGAGCACGTCGAGTGGTAGAAAATGCATTAGGTTTGCTTTCGATGCGTTTTCGTTTTCTTAGAAAGCCAGTTGAACTATGTCCTCAGAAAGTAATGAAGCTAGTTCAAGCTGCTTGTGTGCTACATAATTATCTAATTGAAAAAGAGTCGACCAGATATGTTTCTGAAGGTACTGTTGACATGGAAGAAAATGGCAGGCTTATTGAAGGTTGTTGGCGAGATGACCCACTTCCACAAAATTCCTTTTATTCATTACAACATACAGGCGCAAGAAATCCAACATGCACAGCCAAGCAAGTACGCGAAAATTTTAGAACGTATTTTATGTCCAGAGCAGGTGAACTACCGTGGCAATATAAATATGTTTGATTTTTTTATTTATTAATTTATATATTGTTTTGTCATTAGATTTTTGTTATATGAATGTCAAATGTATCCTACAATAAAAATTTTAAATCACAATATGAATTTACTTTATTTACTTACCAGCACATCTGTAATAATATCAGGGGCACTGCCAACACTGACAATTGAATCCTTTGTTGAATTTATCTGGATATTCATAAACTTGACAGCCTCAAAAAACTCCCACTTCGGTTTATACCTTTCATCTGCGCCCTGACCACTTTTGAACTTTTTCATTTTTCTCAGATGCTCATTTAACTGGCATCTCAAATTATGAATTTTGTCTTTTACTGTTTTAACACCCAAATTTAAAGACGTTGCTATCGTTTCCAAGGACTGTTGTTTCAGGTTTCGATTCCTATACTCCTTCAACCTGATATTCCACAATTCTGGACGAGCCTCTACCAATTCAATTAATTGAAACACTTTATTTCTCTCCCAAACAAACTTTTCGCACTGTTCTTCATCATATAATGCTTCCATTTTCCAAAATCAAAAAAAAAAAAACTTTCTTTTTCAAATAAACACACGGATAAATAACCTAACCATACATAACCTAGCAAAGCAAAACAAAGAAAACTCTACGTATAATACAAAAAAATATCCAACAAGTTGAATAATGCTAGAGTTAACCGCTAGAGCGTGGAAGTTGTGCAGAGACGCCTGTGTACACTGCATATCATTTGTCTAGCGAGCTTGTCTACGGAGAGCGTAGACTGACTCCCGATAGAGTGCTCTAGTAGCTGTGTACACTATGGGACTCAACATAGAGCGCTCTATTAGAGCTCTAGTTAGAGCGATTCTAGCCAAAAACTCTACAGTGTATCGGCACCTTGACTCGGCGTTTTTGAAATCGTTCTTATCTGGTGTTGAGTTGCAATAGCTTTGGGTGCTGCTATCAAAAGTTTGTTCATTTATTTAGTTTATATTATTATATAACATTATTTTTCAAAAATTGTGTAACTTGCGTACCGTGTTGCTTGCGCTTAAGACAATCATGAAGCATCCTTGATTTATAACAACGTATAACTAATTATGGTCATGATTTTAATTAATTCGTTAATGCTTTATCGTATTTTGGATAGATTTTCAACACAAAAGTGTATTTTTCAAGTCGGATTTCATACCGAGGTCTGATAATTCATCCACGCATATGAATTCTTTATTACGGCTTCTAATTACCTATTTAACAAAGATTAATTATTATTTTCCAACAATTTGTGTAAAATTTTGCATTTTTCTGATGACGCCGCCTTGAAAAGGCTTTGCGTGCAGTAGACGCTCAGCGTGACTCGGCGTTTTTGAAATCGTTCTCATCTGGAATAGTGTTGAGTTGCAATAGCTTTTGAGTGCTGCTATCAAAAAGTTTGTTCATTTATTTAGTTTATATTATTTATATAATATTATTTTTACAAAATTGTAACTTGCTTGCGTGTTGCTTGCGCTTAAGACAATCATGAAGCATCCTTGATTTATAACAACGTATATCTAATTATGATCATGATGTTAACAGAA